CCCACCACAACCCCCCACACGCAAGAAACAAACACAACTTATCTCTCGGTAACTTGAACCAATACACATACAGAGTATTGCACCTGGACGTTATTAGAATTATTCTTTCATAGACTAAAGTTTTATAATATGCCTGAACATGCAGCAGTTGATACCTCTAAATTCAATGAATCAATTCCACAGGCCTTGCAGCAAACACTATATACAAAAATCTCAAATGTACAAAAGGCAAAAAGCTTCGTGGGTGCCACTTTGCCACTCACAAGTATATATATTAAAGGGCAGCTGGGAAATCCACGTGCAACAGTTGGAATGGATTCCATTCCCTGCTAAATCAGTTCAGCAAAATAGATAATCAAATGACCTCCGGGAAACATATACACAAAGCCACAGAGAACCCTTGGGAATAAAAGAATAAAAGAATGTAACACTGTTAGCATTTTGGCAGGAGGTAACATTGCATCCATTAAGTAGTGTCCACATGAGTTGCCTTTCCGCGTCACACAGGAACAAGCCTCCCAGTCCGGCCGGCCACATTGTCAGTTTCCAGGCAAGTTGCTTTTCAGTCTCTTGACACGCTCTGCAGGACTCATGTTTAACCTCATTCTGCTTGTTCCGAAAGCAGGTATTTCATATTCAACTTTACATGTTTAATGTTTAAAAACCACAACACAGTAGTACTACCATTTTGTAGAAGTGCGCAAAAATAACACACTGCTGCAGGAAATAAATAGAGTTTATGCTGGGAACTCAGGACGTAAGTGGAAAGAGAATTTGGGAGCTGAGTTTTGCGAGAACCCCAGGGTCGTGGCCGTCAGGGCGGTGGCCTTCGTATTCAGGCAGAATGTTAGTAACGAGGACCACGCTTGTTTCCTTTTCTCTCAATTCGTACAGCCCCCGTGTGCCACCAATGCATTAGGAGTATAAACCTTGGACGACTGGTTTCTCGTTCCATATTAGCCCTTTAATATCAACCTGTATTAACACTGGAATCTGTATCTGTTGGCCAATTAGCAAATTTGAGGATATCTTTTCCAAACGTTAAGAGAGTGCAAAATCAAATTTTCTTTTTCAAAAAGAGTAATTTCTTCCACAAGATACATGCTTCCACAACTTTGGCATGCCCCCAAGCCAACACCAAAGCAAGCAAGGATTAGCCATTCCAGACACACCACCACAGGCAGCTAACCTGCGCATCGCCCAGTCTCTCTCCTTCACAGGCACCTCAGGGCGCCCCCCTCAGGCTGAAGAAGCAGTCTCTTCCCCCGCACAGAAGGGCAGAAGATGGCAGGCGGGGGGTGCAGGACTGGAGGGATGAGAAGCAAGAGTTGTTGGAATTCTACGTTCAATTGCAGAGCCCGAGTCTTCTTGTTAGCCTTTTACATTTTCCTTTGCAGTGAAAGAACTGAAGTTGCTTCACTGCCAGGAGCCCCTGAGAAGTAGAAACAGGCTCCCCAACAGACCAAACACAGCGACGTGTCCAGCTAACGGCCGGCCCAACACGATGCTGCTTTCCCGGTGCGCTGAGAGCCAAGAGTGCCTTCTGGTCACCAGGCAGGAGGAGGCAGGAGCTGGCCTGGGCTAAGGGAATGCAATAAATAGAGTGGACAGGGATAGGGGCTCCGGGGAGGAGAAGTAGTTCAAGACCTTCTGAGCCTCTGGAAAACAGCCATCTTCACGGCACCCCTTCTTGCAGCATCACCAAACTCCATCTGGGGGGGCGAGGGGGGTGCGCTCAGGGCATTAGGTCTTCACCAAAGTAGGAGAAACCTTTGAATTCCTCCTGGTTGATCTGCTTCACAATTGCTTCATCCACAAGCGTGAGTACTGGCTCTTCCCGGGTAAAGTCTTGGTCAAAGTTATTGACGTCTCTTTTGGTTTTCTGTGAGAAGAAAAGAGAAAGCACTGACTCCAGGCTGACCTCCCTCCCCAGGACCCCCCACAGGGAGTGGGCATCGCGCTGACCAGCCTCTCGCCAAAGCAGGCCACTAGCTACTGAGAGCAGACACAGAGCTGTTCCAATGAGGTCACGATGGATGGCCCCAGGACCAGAAGGCAACAGAGGACTTGGAAAGGAAAAAAATGGGTCCAGGTGAGAAGGAAGAAGGAGTGAGAGGGTACGATGGAAAAGCAGGGAAGTGGGATCCCCACAGACTGCGTGTGTGCTTGTGTGCGTGTGTGCGTGTGTGGGAGAGTGGGATGCATAGCTCCCATCTCACACTCCCCCTTCCAGCACCTGCCCTAACCCTCTGGCTTCATTGAGATCTCCTTCTCTGTAACCATGGTAACAAACTCAATCCCCTCCCACAAAGTTTCCAGTGCTCTTTCTCCCCTATAGTTAGACCCCCATAACCTTGCCATGGACAGGGGTGGGAATGTCTTCTGGGAACCCTGCCTTGGTCCTAAGCTGCTCTCACCATGAACCCTATCTTGTGCTCCCATATTATTTCTATTGTTACACTCAGCACTCTAGCTCGCAATGAATTGTTTATGTTTTTGTCTCGACCAAGAGCTTCTTAAAGGCAGGGGCCTTATCTTACTCAACCTTGGGTTCCCAATGATAAACATGTACTGAATAACTGATGGTGCAAATAAACCCACCCAGTTCAGAAGGACCGCTCCCTCCCATCCCCGCCGTTGGAGGTTCAAGCTCCCAAAGTAGGGTTGAGGGCAATCACACAAATCCTGGCTGGGGGAGAAAACAGGAAGTGTATCTAATGCTCTCTGCCTCTTGGGGTTTCCAGTTGCATTGGGAGCCAGTCTTGCTGCCGGGACAGTCTGCATCGGTTAGACAAACTTGCAATGGAGAAGTGAGGGCTTGGCTGAGACTTGAAGACTGAGTCACAATCGTGTTGGTAGAGATGGGAGACAGGCACCTTGTCAGGAAGAAAGATGGGACGAAAGCAGGGGGCAGGAACAGGAAGGATGTGTACACAGGACAATGGGTTCCCCACGCTGCCTGGGGCAGAGTCCAGCGTGAGGATGGCGGGAGGCCAGAGTGGAGTCCGACTGTGGAGCCTTCCAAAACAGGCCCCTGACCCCCATAGTCCACAGTGCAAAGCTGAGAAGATGGAAGGGTGCCGGTAATACTTTTTAAGAAACAGACTGACTGGTGTTACTCAGGACCAGAGACCTGGATGATGGAATCAATTTTGTGGAAAGATTAGCATTATTATTTGTAGGAGGCATACTATTAATAGATGCTTTGATCTGTAGAAAATAGTAACTTAAAATATGTGAATAAGTAGTCTATGAAAAAAGTGGTTTTGAGATAAAGCTTTATTGTGTACCCTGTGCCTTGCCTGCATTTGCTATGCACATTGGCAAATTAAAGGCTCTGAGACATCCTAGAGCCAGGAAACCGAGTTCATGTAGCTTAGGTCAGCCCTCCTCAAACCCGACATAGATTTTCTCCTGAAGCAGAGTCCGCAGAACCCGGCTTGGGATGCTGCTTTACAGTTTACAGCACCTTCACATCCATTTGCTCATTGGATCCTTGGAACGGGGTATTATTATCCTGATTGCACAGATGAGGAAACCGTAGTTCACAGAGGTGACTTGCCAGAGTCAGCCAACTAGTTAAGAGCAGAGTCAGACTCAAGTGCAGGTCCCAGCGTGATGCGTCCACGGTGTGGGTTGACTGGAGAAGTGGGAAGCCATGGCCAGGGTCAGATTCTATCAGGAGATATTTAGGTAAAGCCACTAGACTGCAATAAAGCCAGGAGGGCTTGCCAGCAGGCCAGCCTGGTGGCACTGATCTGCGAGTAGAGGAGAGTGTGCGTAATGTGGACAGGGCGAGCTCAGCAGGGAAGACTGTGCAAATTGTCCAGGACTGAAATCAGAATCAGATGGATAGCATGGAGCAGGGATGAGATAATCTTCCAGAACCCATCAGGGCGGCTTGGCATCTTCTCCCTGGGCTTGAGCTACACAGTAGGTAGGTGTCAGAGACCTTGGAGGGGTGACAGAGGGAGATACAGAGAACCTGAGTGGTGGGGACAGGACCTGCAGCTGAAGGAAACATACGTTGTCCTTGAAATGGGCAAGCCTAGTGGCTTAGTCACCTCTACAGGAGGGCTGGCCCCAGGCGCGAGGACTATCTGTTTCATATCTCTAGTGCGTACAGAGCGAGAGGAAAATGGACGGAGAGGAGATGGACGTCAGAGGGGAAAAGAAGCCCATCCCTCACAGTGACTCACATGGGACTTGGGAGGGCCGGTACCTCAGGCGAAGGTGTTGTGATGCCTCTCCCGAAGGTCTCTATTGAAGGAGGGATGGGCGCACTTTGAGTGGGGAGGGGTTACAGAGTATGGGCCTGCGATGAGGGATGAAATGAGTCCAGAAGGATGTGTGGGAGGGGTAGAAGGTGGCGGTGCCTTGGGAAGTACTGAGGATCCTCCCAGAAGGCAGCCATGGGCATCCCTATTAGGCACAGGAGAGCCAAGGGGACCGGCGGGTAGGAGGGGCAGGAGTTGGGTGAACAAGAGAGGCCAAGAGATGGGGCAGGAGGAAAATGCAATGTAACATCACCAAGGGCGGGCCATGCCCAGGTCTCCTGTCCTTTCAGGGCAGGACCCCCTCCGTGCCGGCTCATTCTCACTGGTCACCGGGGAATCTGCAAGGCTCTGGCATCGGCCCTCCCTGTTTATCTACTTGTTTGCACTTCACCTTTCAGTCATTGGTGTCTATTAGTCATGGACATGGGTTTTGTTTCCTGAGGTCAGTTAAGCATGTGACAGACCTAGATTCCATACGATAGCTGAATTTCACAACTCGCTGGTTATGTACTGGGAATCAGGCTCAGTCAACACAGCCATGAATGCCATTTTCAGAGCACCTCTAGCTCCGTGGCAGGCTACCTTGGGGAGCCATCTCGCTCAGCTCTGGACTTTCCAGGGGTCAGAATCGCCTGTGGCATCTGAGCGAGGTGCCATTCTTTAAGAGCTCTACAGGAAAACGTTCTTGGCTCACCCACCCGCTTATGCAACCTGGCCCAGGCCCTGTTTTCCTTGGACATCTTAGGTACATGCCAGCTCCTCATTTCCACGTCAAATAGCCAGCATCCACCCTATGTGCCATTCCTGATTATTCACCTTAGAGACTTGGGAAGTTTTCCAAAGCAGTTATGTCTGGGAAACATCACTGCCTATTCCAGTGATGGCAAACCTTTTGAGGTCAGCGTGTCAGCATTTTGAAAAACCCTAACTTAACTCTGGTGCCTTGTCACATATAGAAATTTTGTGATATTTGCAACCATAGTAAAACAAAGACTTATGTTTTTGATATTTATTTTATATATTTAAATGCCATTTAACAAAGAAAAATCAACCAAAAAAATGAGTTCGCGTGTCACCTCTGACACACGTGTCATAGGTTCGCCATCACTGCCTATTCATAGCATGTACTAGTATGCAGCAATGAACATCCCCAGATTTGAGGATAATTGCAGATTATATCCTTCACTCACTGGTTTTATTCTTTGGGAAGCTGCTTGCCTCCCTCACAGGCACAAAACTTGACTCCAAGATTCCAATGGGCAAACTCCCAGAGACACTGCCTGGTCCCCTAGCCCCCTGGTCATCCCAGATGCCTCCCTAATGTCTAAGCCAGACTCAGCCCACACTGCACAGACTGAAGGGTGACACTGGGGCACGTGGAACAACCTTCTAACTCTTCAGACCATATCTTCCCATGAAGCCATCCCCCAGCCCTTGGCCCACACCGAGGAGAGGCTGCATAGAGGAGGAGAAAGAGCACCCGCTGACTTCTCGTCCGTGCACTGCCCCTTTCTGCTTATATGACACCGTGTGAAGTCACTCTTTGAGCCTTGATCTTTTCATCTGTAGAATGCAGGTGGCAATAGGTGCCTTGAGAGGCCAAATGTTAGGTGCCTCCGTGCCCTTGATACTAACGGGCACCCAATAAATGTGAGTTTCCACTCTGCCTCTGAGTTTTAGAGCTTGTGTGCCATGGGCAGGCACCATGGGCAGCGTGGCTGTTACCCAGCACAGTCCATGTGATCTGCCCATCAGCGCCATGCGCTGCTGGGGGCAGGGACTACGTCTTACATTTCTCTGTCTGCCTCCAAATCCAAACATGCCAGTGCTTCCTCCAATGACTACGGTTCTTCTATCAGCACATCGCTGCTCTTGGGGAAGCCCAGGTTCTTATACACACACACTTCTAAGGCCCTTCAGGATCTCGTCCCTGCCTATCTGCCCAGCTTCATTTCCCATGCAGTTCTCTGGACTCGCTGGCTGGCTCCTGACTCCAAGCCTTTGCATGGCTGGTCCTCTGTCTGGAACACCCTCCCCGCTCCTTGCCTCCTGCCCCATGCCCTCGTCACTGAGCTGATGTCATTCCACAGCCTTCTGAGAAATGGCATCTCAGAAACAAAGCCACTGAGCTCATCTTACAAAGCACTCCAAGGCCACTGAGCCTTGGGTCTCAGCTGGTTGAGCCAGGGCTTGGAGCCAGGCACAGACATGGACAGGTATGTTTCCTCAGCGCTTGCTTCCTCTGTGGCCAATGCCAGTCTCTCCTGGCCCTCCCTGTACTGAGTCACAGACACAAGCCCTCAGAGGAGCCAGTGATGCCTGCTTCTGTCTCCATTCGATCGTCAGGAGAGAGCAACAGATAGTTCTGTTTTAAAACCCTAGAGAACTACCTGATTACAGGCTGGGGCACGGGACTGGCTGTCATGTGGCTGCCTTGCTGTCCCTGCCCACCTCTTGACCTCTGCCTGGAATGACAGCAAGAGCCTAGGTAGAATGACTACAAGCCAGGAGTGTCCAGCCCGTGACTGTGACCAGCGCTGGTCACCAAAATGCCAGCTTTCCTCAAGGTCCCATATCCCGTTCCAACTCCCCAAGTCTCCCCTGA